GTGTGTGTGTGTGTGTGGGGGGGGGGGGCATTCTGCGGAGGCGGGGGGGCCTTCTCAGCAGAGATCTCCAAGGATTCCAGGAAGGCCCCTCAGAGGGCGGGAGCGCTTCCCAGAACCCCCCCCTCCTGCCTTCCCAGAGCCTCACCCTCCTCGCCCCATCCCCGTTGTGTAGAGGAACGCAAACAACATAAACGTAAACTTTCGACGGTCCCCATGGATTTCTTGGATCGGCGCTGGGCACCCCTCCCTTGCGCGCGGAGCGCGCCAGGGGCGGCGCCAGGGGGGCCCAGCGCAGATCCAAGAACTCCGCACGGCGCTTCAAAGGTTATGTTTATAGCGTTTTCTGCTACTTCGATCTCAGAAGACCCCCCCATTGCCCCATCCCCCTTGGTGCGCGCCGCCAGTCGCCAGTTCGTCGTTGAACTTCACCCACTGGCAATCCTGCTCAGTGGCCCCCGCGCGCAGTCTCGCGAAGGCGTAGTAGTGGCCGTCGCTGACGCTGCCGCTGTGCACCACCACGCTGTGGAGCGAGTAGGTCCTGACCATCGTTTGACCGATTCCTATCCCCACTGGCGTGGCCTGGGCCCCACCGGCCGATCTACCTCCCCAGATGGGGATCTAGCTTTATGATGTTCCAACCTACTTTAGCCTTGATCACCAAAAAAGATGCTCAGCAACAAGAAAGTACTAACATTGGAAGGGTTTTCGCGCGTCGGGCCCTGGGAGGCGATACTCGTTCGACATTGTTTCGATGCTTGTCTGGGTGCTCGACACTACTTCCGGGGAGTGGCCCTCAAGTGCGATGGGAACAACATGAATCTAGGCTGCTCCCTCTTCGGGTTTCGAAGGGCGTATCCCCAACTGGGGTGGTGGCATGGTGGGGATCGGGATCGGGACGGGGATTGACGCTGAGGTCCCGCTTCCCGGCGCCAGCGCCTCGAGGTCCAGGCGGGTCGGGAACTCGAGCCTCGGGCCGCGAAGCGGCTTCGGGGCCGCAGCATCCCTCGCGGCGGGCGCCCGCCCCAGGGCGGCAGGAGACCGTGCCTGCACCCTGCTCGCTCGGCGGAGGCGCGCAGTGTTAAGCCAGGCGTGTCCCTCTACGGGAGGAACGCCGAGAATAGCTCAAAAGGGGGCATTGTCGGGGGGCGATGTTTCTGTTGTTCGGTATCTTTTTTTCTGGGGGCTATATTTTTAGACTCTAAAATTCTCGCCCAAAATCCGCCTGTAGGGGGACATGCCCGACCTAAGCGCAGTGCCTGGCGGCCTGTGGGCGGGCGCCCCGCCGGCGGAGGACTCTGCCCCCACGGTGTTGTGGTGCTTGCGCTCGGGCTTCTTCCTTGAGAGCGCCTTCTTCTTCGGCGTCTCGACATTGGGCGGAAGGGGGGCAGGGGGGGGAGGTCTGGCTCCGGACCTCTGCTCAGTGCCACTGTTTGCAGCAGTGCGTCCTATGGGGGAGGCCCCACCTGCTCGAAACATGCGCCCAACACAGCCAAGATCTTCTCCTTGTGGGGGAGGGGGGAGGGGGGGTGCGAGGGCCCGCGCCGATCGGCAAAGCACCGAATAAAAAACGATCATGCTCTTGCTTCTCCTGTGCGGTGTTTGCCTTTGCCTTGAGCCCCCCCAAGGGGATCGTCGTAGTTCGCAGTTGCAGCCTGCCAGCCCCGACGAGCCCCTCACCGAGTCCAACACTGGCCCTGGCCACCGTCGCCGCCCGCTAGCCCTGACGAGCCCCGCCCAATCCGATGCCGCTGCCCCACGTGGCCGATCGCGGAAACCCTGAACCCAAAAAACGTTTCCATCTCCTGGGAGGTGGACTTTTGCTTCCGCCGCCTTCCACCAGCCTTCCGCCGGCTTCCGTCGGCCGAGCCGCCCTCGTTTTACTTCCGCCGCCTTCCGCCGAGGAAGAGACGACACCTCCTTTGATCCCCGAAGGCAGGGCCCTTTCTGGAACGCCACGTGTCTTACGCAGCGCCCAAGGCTCGTCGCTTGCTGGCTCCCACTTGCCCCAGCCAGCCTTTTTTTGTGGATGGATCTCCTAAGCTCTCCGCCGCCTCTGGCGGTGTGCGTTGCGAACAGGAATACAGCAAAGCCACAGGAAAGCGCGGCATTGACATTGCAGCTCCGCGCACGTGACACATTTTAACGATCAAGATCGCATCAAAGCCCCAGGAGAGCGAGGCATTGGCAGTGTAGCTCAACATGTACACGGTGGTGGCCGGGGAGCCCCCACGACACGTCCACGAACGTTGCTCCACACTCCGGGCGGCAGCGGCGCTGCTGCCGCTCGCCAGCCCGGACTGGCCCCGCGTGCCCGCGCTGGGCTCGTCGCCGTCGCCGCCTCTGGCCCCGCGAGCCCCGCCCTGGCCGCCGGGGCGTGTCGCCGCCGCTTCCTGCCCAGCCCCAGCCAGCCAGACCCGCCGAGCCCCGTGCCCGCACCAGTCGGCTACACGTAGGAATGAGCCTCGGCAACGAGTGACCTTTGGTGCGCGGGCGACGGGGGGCGCAGGGTGGCCAAATCCAAGCGCGCGCCATTCGCCGCTATCGCCTCGCGCTCGGCGATCGGGGGGCGACCTCGATGAGCTCGCACCAGAGGTCACCCTGGCCAAGGGTCACTCTTACGTGTTTTCGAATCGGGGCCCCATGTGCCTCGTCACCGTCGCCGCCAGCGCCACCCAGCCCCGTGTCCCTGCGCCGCCTCGGTATAGGCTCGGTGCAGCCCCCAGGTCCGTCCAGCCCCGTCGCGCGCCCCTCCTCTGCGCCTTCCTCGATAAGGCTCATGTCTGGACCAGTGGGGCAGCGTTGGTGGTGACGCGGGTGTCGCAGGAAGGCCGACTGAGACAAAGGCGGCTCTCCCGTCCGGCCAAAATCCAACCACAATCGCCCCCCCAGACCCCTCCTGTGTTCCCTGGACCCCTCCTGGGGCCGCCGTTGTCTAGACTGGCTTTCCTTTGAGAGTGGGTCCGTTCTTTCTGTTTCCATGCCCCCCAGGTGAGAGCCGCCCGTTCAGCTTGCACATGTCCATGCGCTCCACGTCGAACATGAAGCGCTTCAGTTGCACGAACAGTACGGGCGGAAACCTCTTCGGACGGCGGAAAGGACAATGAGGATGAGGAGGAGCAGGAGGAGGAGGACGAGGAGAAGGAGGACGGCGAAGAGTAGGAGCAAAATACGGAGAGGTGAGCGTGAGGGTGATGACAAACAGAGGGCAGAGTAGCCATGATAGAGGTGGGGGGCGGCCATATATAGGAGCGAGAGGAGGGATAGGAACAACGGGAGACACAAGACTAAGAGGATGGGGTAAACGAGTAAGGGGCGACATATGAGGAACATATGGTCTCGTAACAATGATGACGAGGAAGAGGAACTTGCCGACCCCTTCTGACTTCCTCGACGCGTGATGCTGCCCCTCCCCAACGTCCTCCCCGGGCAGCTCCGTCCAGTGGTTTTCGAGGGTGCTATCGTTGTCAATGGGGTCATCTGCTCCAGAAGTGCTCCAATACAGCACAAGATGGTCCACATCGCTTTAGATTGCCTCTCAATCGCGCAAGATGGTCCAATCTCGTCTTTACACTTGTCTCCAGCCGGTGTCCAATATATTTCAGGACGGCCCCGATACAGCGCAAAGTGGTCAAGGCACTCCCCGACGACGCCATATGCTTGATACAATGTTGCATGGTTTATGGCACGCCCAGCTTCCTTGTCTTGAGAGCATCCAACACGGCCTTAGAAAGGGCCCATCAAGACGGGCCAAGCGAGGCCCCGGAGGGTCTCAAATCGACCCAAGAGGACCCCAAGACGGGGCCGAGCGAACGTTTTTCGAATGATGCTGGCCAGCGAAAGTCGCTAAGGACGGGTCGAAGGGGCAAGGATGCAGTGGTATCCTTGGGAAGGTTGTCCATCCTTACTATGCGGGTGGACTGTATGTGTGGGTATTTGTGGCGGCGAAGAACTACAAACGCATCGAGAAAGACCCCCCGCACGAGTCCCGCAAGCCTCACGAGAAACTTCCGTCTGCACAAAGCGCCTCTGGAGCCCGCGCAGCCCACAACGGCCCCCGCAACGCCCTTCGGTACGAGCACCCTGCGCTCCCAAGGGGCCGACGCATGCAGCGCAAGAGGAGAGGGGAGGAGGAGGAGGAGGAGGAGGAGGAGGAGGAGGAGGAGGAGGAGGAGGAGGAGGAGGAGGAGGAGAAGGAAGAGGAGGAGGAGGAGGAGGAGGAGGAGGAGGAGGAGGAGGAGGAGGCGATCCAAGTCCAGCAGCCCCAACCAAACGCGAAGGAACTGGAGGGGGCCGAATTGGGGGTACCGCAGGGGCTCCTGAAGACCCAGAGAGGGGGATCAGCACAACGGCAGATCCGCTTATAACGAAGCCCAGACCGCCCCAAAGGCCCAAACCAACGTCTGGGGGGCGGAGAGCGTCAGGCTGGAGCGGAAAACACAGCCAAAGGGGGTGGGGCTCCAAGGCTACGCCGAGCGGACGCCAGAGTCGGCCGCACCCTGCAGCCCCGCACAGTGGGACCGCAACGCGTGCCCAGACCCCCCCCTGCACCAAGCCCCGCAGCCGCCGCAGGTGCATGGCCAGCGGGGCCACGCGTGCGCCAGGCCAGAGGCGCGCCGCACAGAAGCCTCGCAGGGCCGAGTGCCTCCAGCGTGGCGGCGGCAAGACAAAGCCAGAAGACACCAGAAGGGGGCGTCAGGGTACACGCACTCATGGCTGGATTGGGGGCCCACTCTTTGGCTCGACCCCTCTCGCCAGCCTCTTGACACAGAAACGAACATTGGCCAACGTCTTAGGATTCTTCGGCGGTCCTAAACGAAGGCCCTTGAGCTTCTTAATTTACTTACCAACCTGCAGGCTATAGCAACCACACATGTCACACATGCCCGCAGGACTTCATCGGGCCACCCGATGGCCCTCGTCGGCAACATGGCCCCCAGGACACTAGGAAGCAACGCGCGTTTTAAAACTCTCAGCTGTCTGTGCTTCACGCAAAAAGCTCACGCATCTAGAGTTTAAATTGCGAAGCATGGACCTGCTCAAACTTGTGCCCAATAACCGAGAAATTGGGGAACCACGCGACACATCTCTTCGGGGGAAGCTGACGGGCAATCTCCTGCGACTCACGGTAAATCCGCACTGCCCTGGAAACCAGGATCGCCAACTGCTTCGTGCCGTGACAAGATCGCTGAAGCAGTTGCTTGTGATTCAATTCTCCATCAGCACATTGGCAACTTGGATGTCTGCGGCCCCAGCATGTGCTAACACATCCGCCCATGCGTTTCCGATCGCATGCGCCAGCGAGCCTCCACCGTCGACGAAATCGTACAGGTCCTGATGGCTAGGTATCCATACAGATCTGCACCTCTCAACATCGTCTCTGCGCAGCTCGAACATGGACCTCCATATACTTGCATGCGTGGGTGATGCTCTCAATCACAACACGTCCCACCCATTCGCCTCCTCCACGAAACTGAGGTGATCCGAAACAACCAGCCCTGGCCTCCTCATAGATCTCAACGCCATCAATCCAGCAAGTTTCGCCCCTTGGAACAGACTGTTCAAGACCAGGAAACCCTCCATATCTTGCTCTGACAGGCCATCCAGTGAAAAAGGGTCCCACTGCACCACTGGCCATCCGACTCTGCATAACGTCAAGCCCGACGCATCGCAAAACGCCACAGTGCTCCATTCGCCCGAGCAGTCTCCCTATTCGTGCACAACATGCGAGTCCGACGGTGGGCCAGGTTGGAGGAGGAGGTGGAGGAGGAGGAGGAGTAGGAGGATGTGGAGGAGGAGGAGGGAGGACGGAGGAGGGAGGAGGGAGACGGGAGGAGGGAGAAGGGATGAGGAAGACGAGGAGGAGGAGGGGGAGAGAAGGAGGAGGATGAGGAGGAGGAGGAGGAGGAGAAGGAGGCGGCGGAGGAGGAGGAGGCGGAGGAGGAGAAGGGGGAGGAGGAGGAGGAGGAGGAGTAGAAGGAGGAGGAAAGGGGGAGGAGGACAAGGAGGAGGAGGAGGAGGAGGAGTAGGAGGAGGAGGAGGAGGGAAGAGAGAGGAGGGAGGAGGGATGATAAGGATGATGCTGATGATGATGGTGATGTTGATGCTCATGATGCTGATCATTATGATAAGTATGATGGTGACGGTGATGATGCTGATGCTGCTGCTGATGGTGAGGGGGGAAGTAGGAGGAGGAAGAGGCAGAAGAGGAGGATGACCAGTGTCAACTCAAGACTCGTTAACGATGTTGGAATACACCCTTCCTCCGAACTCCCTCTTCATATGCCCCTACAAGGGTTAATTTCCACTTGGTGCCCTGCCTCGTTGGGGGACAACCGTTTGAAGACCCTGAAGCATGTCAAAAACACCACTATCGGGACTCCAGCGCCACGGTCCAACCTGACTGTTGCGCCTTGATGATCCTGAATCGTGCCAGAACACCGGTTCTGGGACGTCAATACCGCGAACCAGCGTAACTGTGGCACCCTCGCAATATTGAGGTCTTCCAGAACATCATTTCTGGTACGCTGACTTTGGGGATCTGTGAAACTCTTGCGAATTCTCAAAACGAATGTGCGCGACGCTACGGCGAGAACCGCACTTTAAAAACAGGCCGCCCTGTTTAAAACGAGTGAGCGCGGCACTGCGGCGAGAACCACGTCTTGAAAGCCGCCCGCCCTCCGTCCGTGAGCCTCTTGCGAGCCTTTAGAACGAGTGTGCGCGGCGCTGATGCGAGAACCACATGCTGAAAACCGCCCGCCCTCAATCCGTGAAGCTATTGCAGTGTGCGCGACGCGTGTTCGCGGCGCTAGAGCGAGAACCACAATTTGAGAACCACTCGCGCTCCATTTGTGAAACGCTTCATGGTCATAGGTGGTGACGAAGTCTATGGCGAAACACCCTGTCCGCCCTCTCGACCCGCCTCAGGGTGCGACAGGGAGGCGCCACTCGTAAGGAACAGGAATGAAGGAGGAGGAGGAGGAGGAGGAGGAGGAGGAGGAGGAAGAAAAAGAGGAGGAGGAGGAGGAGGAGGAGGAGGAGGAGGAGACGAGCGTAGAGGGAGTCCAAGGTCGATCCACCCGCCTAGGAGCCCCTCGGCACCTGGCGCTTCTCGACGCCCGTGGCGGAGGAAGACGAGACAGCAGCGAAGGACGCAGCAGCGGTAGCAGCAGCGAACGGATGCGCCTTGGGTGCAGGCGAGCGGGGCGCACCTGCTGTTGTAGCTGGCGCACTCGTGGTCGACGCGGCCGTCGACGGGCGAAGATTCGTTTCAATCCGAGAGCCTATTTCAATCCGCACAGGGGGCGCAGCGGTCTTTATATTCGGAGGACAAGGAGCAGCAGCAGGAGGGATCGAAGCAAAGGAAGAGGGAAGGAGGGACAGCGACGGGCAGGCGTGCACACTGTTTTCGGCGCACACGCTCACACCGTCCTGTCCGCTGACCCCTGTTACGGGTGGGAGGTCACTCCACAGGTCGGGGCGACCAGCGTTGGTACTCTCACGCGAATCCCGAGAGGCGCAGACCCCAAACAGGCCAGCACGGGGAAACGCGGCGGCGGCACGAGCAGGAGGCGGCACAGCACGCGGGGTGCGAGCACTGTTTGGACGCTCCCCGCAAAAGGGCCCTCCAGGCCGAAACGCTGGGCTCACACAGGCGCTAGCAAGGCTACCGAGGCTCGGGAGGCTGGGACCCACACCACCAGCAGCCACACATGGCTTCAGATCGTCGGGGTTTCGAGCGGGTACCTCAGAACGAGTGGATAGAGGCGAGCAGCCTGCAACATAGGGGTAAGGCAAGTTCACAGACGGGGCCGCTCCAGGGCCAGAGAAGACCGCCGAACACGAAGATGACGCAGTGCCCGAAGCAGACAATGCCGAGCTCGAAGTGGCTGCAGGGAGGTCGCGCTCAGAACCAGCTCGAGACGCCAGCTCACAATTCACTCCTGAGCCCTTATTTCCATCAGAGGCGGTCGACCTCCGTGCTTGAGACACCAGCTCACTCCTTACTCCTGAGCCCTTATTTCCATCAGAGGCGGTCGACCTCCGTGCAAGAGACGTGATCTCACAACTTACTCCTGAG